CTGACGCGTCTAATTTCTCTCTGCCATCTGCCATAACAATGTGAAAGTCAAGGCCGTTCTCAGATATGCTGTTCCTGTTTACCAGTGGAAAATTCCCTTGTTGCAATTTCAGAAAGTCCCCCTAGGTGGACACTGTTACAACAGTCCAAAGCAGTTACTTTCCCTTTTGAAGTAACAAGAAAAGGAAAAAACAAAAGTGTAGACAAAGAAGAAGAAACAGTTCCAAAAAGTAGCCTTCCAATTATTTTTCCAACGAAGCTGGCCACAATATATCCACCTTACTGTCAGCAGTTCTCTTTGACAGCTTTTGACAGCTGAGACGTCTCACTGGCAGATTATTCTTTAGACAACTTTACGCAGTCCAAAAAACAAACCCCTTCCTTTCCTACTTTCAGAAGGGTAGATTCAAAAAGAGTTCTCAGGTCGGAAAACAGCTCTTTTCAGGTTAAATGTCAACGTTTTAGCTCAAAGTCTCTTATGCTTTACACTATTTACAAGACGGGAAGCGGACTTCCTGTATACACCTCCCGCCGCGGTAGCCAATTCAATCCTTATTTTTGTTCCAATTCAAAGTCTTTTTCCTTTTAAAGATTTAGTCCAATTCGGAATCTTTTAAATCCAATTCCACCTACTCACGGTTAGTCTTTTAATCCGAATGTTCCAGGAAGAAATCAGCGCTCTCTAGCAACGGCAACACGGCTTCGCTCCGCGAAAGCAGCAGTCAACTCACAGCACTGCGCCTCTCCCCCGTTCCGCTCCGAAGCCTCAAAAAAAGGCTTCCTCGCGAGTTGGGGGGGCGCTGAAGGGTGCCCGCCGAGTCTCCACGTTCGCAGGCTTCAGCGCCTGCGATTTCTGGGGGTCCCCGCTCCGCCGCAGCGCTCAGGACCCGATTTTCGCGGAGCCGATTCCCTCCGTTACAGAGGGAATCCTCCGTTCGCTAATGGCGCTGACCGGAAGTCCTACAATAGTGAGTATAATTTTAGATGTAAGGTACCTTTTGATAGTGAGGGGGAGTTGGTGAATCTGGATTTCTGGTGGTGAATGAGGATTAGGGCTGGGTGATCTATTAATCTCATCCTATACCGGTTTCTAGACCACATTGTGATAACTTTTCAAAAACAATTGATATGGCAACACACCACAGATCACAGTGCGTTTTTCTGGGATGCTCATTTGCCTGGAAGCAGCCGGCAGAAAGCTTTTCTTCGTGAAGCCCCTGCAGATTCCGAGTTCCTGACTTCCCTCCCAGACGACAGGAAGCGAAAGACACACCTCCATTGCCCTGTGTCCTTCCAGCCTCTTTCCTCCCTTGCTCCCTTCTGCCGGTGTGTGTTCCTGACTTAGATATCCTGTGTGCTGTATTTTTTTTACTGCTGAAACTGGATTTGCTCTCAGGAGCTAAGTTTTGTGCCTCACTGGGGACCCATTGAGAAATGTATGCTTTGAAAGCTCAGTAAACTATTACTGAAGAAGTCCTGCTGCCTCTGTGTGTGTTTTTGACCTCAGTGTGGGACTTGCTCTACATGTGGCCCCTACCCTGCTGCTACTTGGCTCATGTCCTGGAGTTGCTCTACTCAAGCATGCAAGACGGTTTTTGCACCAAACTCTCATTCCCCCACCGCATGATCTCCAAGCACTGATTCTTCACCCAAACTTCATCCCTGCCTCCTAAGCATTCTGAAGAAAACTGATAATACTGTAAGTTAATGGGTGATTTCCCCCCCAAGCCTAATTGCAAGAGGGGAACGGAGGGGCTGTAGGGACCAGGGAAGTCTCCTGATGGGCCCATCTTCACTCTTGAACCCCATGGGGCAACCCCAGAGCTCCTCCTTATTCTGCGGTTTGGGGAAGGTAGTACTTTTCCATAGTCCCAGAAGTTTTTATTCAGTCATGCTGCTAGGGAGTTTTCCTACCAGAGGCCCACAGTTCATATTGCTATCATACTGATTTTACTGTTGTTTCTGCTTTTGCTGTCATGGAACAGCTGGGTGCAGGGGGGGGGGAGGCACCAGTTGGGGGACCTACAAGGGAAGAAGGCTTAGATCCTGGGGACTTGTGGTGGGATGGCAGTGAGCAGAAAGAGGGAGGAAAGGGAGCAGAAGGGGAGGGGAAGTGTTGCAAGCTGAGGAGGAAACAGGGTTTGGTGATCAGGAAGAGGCTGTGGCAGAGAGCAGTTTAGGCTGAGAGGGAGGAGAGGAGGGGGCGAGGAGACCCAGAGGAGGCCGGCTGCTGAAGCATCCAGGGAGACTCCCCCTCCTGCTGTGACCAGCTCCCCTCTCCCCTGGTCTCCCAGAGCACACAGAGAAATCCAATTCAGACCCATGAGCCTGTACATTATATTAATGGGCGTATGGTTTTTTTGTCCCAACATGCATCACTTTAATCTCATTGGCAATGAACTGTATTTTCGGCCCATTCCCCCCACGTTTGGAGAAGTCCCTTTGGAGCTCCTTGCAATCTCTCTCTGTTTGAACAACCCTAGACAATTTGCTTCCATCAGCAAACTTTGCCCCCTCCCTGCTCCCTCCTAAGTCTAGATAATTTATGAACAAGTTGAAAAGCCACAGGTCCCAATACTGATCTTGAGGGGACTCCGCTTTCTGCTCCTCTCCATTCAGAGAACTGTCCCTTTATTAGTACGTGTCCCCCCCCCTTCCTTCCTTCCTTCTGTGCTGCAGAGGGAACCCTGCAGAAAAGATCTGGGGTGAATTTTGCTTCCCCACACATCCATCACTGCTCAGCATTCAGAGAAATGGAAGAGGAAAGCTGGCCACAATCCAAGAGACTGAGGTCAGCAGAAAGCGAAGCAAAGCCTACTCAAAGGGAAACCTCTTCAGCTTCTAGCCTTTCTGCTCCCACCATGGCTGAAGAAGAATTGCCATTTGGGAACGGCACAGCTGAATGGAATCCCCACAATCGCTCCTGCTGGAGGAATAGGGGCACTTAGCCCTATACTCAAAGGTGATGGCCAGTGATAAGGAAAATCCTGGGTTGAGAGGGCCCAGCTCGTTGGGGTGCAAGTCCCCCCATGAGTCTATGAGGTCAGTGAAAGAAGGAAGTTCCAGCCAAGTACAGTGGTACCTCAAATTACAAACTGCTCATGTTACAAACGCTTCACATTACAAACTCCGCTAACCTTGAAGAGTTACAGACCTCCGGAATGAATTAAGTTTGTAACTAGAGGTACCACTGTAATCTGAAGCAAACCAGCGATCAGTAGACCACGATCTTTATTGTTGCGCAAGAGATTCCCACACAGAGCAAGAACCCTGAGCCTGGGGTGACATCAACCTTTTTAACTCACCCCCCCTCACCCAGAATACATTTTGAGCAGCATCCTCACTAGTATGTCACAAGTGGGGAGGGGTATCAAAGGGTTACACAAGTTCAGCAGTTCGTCCTTCTATCAGATACATCTCCGGACACCTCTCAAGTACCCACCACCCAGAGAACAATAAAACTATCTACATACATCCTTGCCCTCAGGGCTTCTCCTGAGATGGGCTTCCAGAACACCTGGCTTGGTCAGCTGCCTCTGTGGAAGTCTGTTGTCGCCCCTTGGTCACTCCCTGGGTGGGGCAAAGTGTACGTTCTCTCATCGGTAGCAGGAGGCCCTGTTCTTGCTGCCTACGTGACTATCCGCTTCCAGGGTCATGGAGGAGGGTGAAGCCTAAATTCACCTTAAAATGGCGTCGGAATGGGAAGAATTGGTTAAAGAATGGCTATTATATGAATTTGCAAAGTTAGGTATCTTTCCCTGAGCTGTCAAGCTGAAAGGATACATTCAGACACAATCTTTGTAACATTCTAGCAACTTTAGGCAATCGAAACCAAAATGGATACATTTCATATACGTTGCCCATAGTCTGAGCAGCAGGAGGGAGCTGAGACAACCGTGCAAAGGCTGAGCTGAATGGCTGGTTTGCAGACAGTTTCAGCCGTCTACGGATTCCCCCATTGGCTAGGTGTCAAAACATAGCACTCTTGATTGGTGAGCTTCAGTTATTCATAAATCCCATTCATAAAACACAAAGTCCATAAATCCCATTCATAAAATGCAGAGACGGTGTTTTCCTGTATTTATACGATGTGTGTGTTGTTCTTGTGCGACTGAGGGGAGAGGGGTTTTGGACTCATCACCCCAGGGGATAATGTCAGATGGTAAACACACACACCCTTGTAATTTCCATAACAGCAGGAAGGAATTCCCCCACTCTTGTCACATGCAGCTGGGCTCACTTGCCAGAGCCACCTGAAGGGCCTGACTACAATTCCCATCATCCCTGACCACTGGTCTTGCTAGCTCAGGGTGATGGGACCTGTAGTCCAAAAGCAGCTGGAGACCCAAGTTTGGGAAACCCTGTTCTCCCTGAAGGACAAAGGGGGGTTCACTTGCATCAGAGCGTCAGGTGAGCCCTGCAGGATCAGGCCCAAGGGGCCCCTGTCCTCCCAGGGGCCAAGCAGGGGCCTCTTCTGGGAAGCGCACCGGCAGCACTTGAGCACCAGAGAAGGGGGGCTGCCTCCAACTGGGGAGGCGCATTTCTTCTAGGGACACGTTTCTGGGGTCCCCACGGTGCCCCCCAGCCTGGCTCCACTCGGCCAGGGCAGCTGGTTTTTGTTTCGCTGCAGGTGAGCCTGCCCCCTGCAACGTGGGGCTCTTAAGGGAACTTCGGGGGGGGGGCGGCGGAGGGGCTGCAGCACCAAGACCTAAAACACGGAGGGATTTAAGCTCGTGGGGTGGGGGAGGGGAGCATTTTGCAATGCAAACCTTGTAGGGGGACGGGACCCACTTTGCAGCTGGATCGCCGGGATCAGCCCTTCCCCCGCTCTCCTGATCCACTAAAGGAAAAGGGGAGGGGGAAACCTTCCTCTTCCTCTCCCCACCTCCATTCTTTCCCTCCCCTCCCGGCACATCCGCCTCTCACCCCGCCCCCACAACCCCAGATCCCGCCCCCAAACGTCCCACCCCTCCTTCCTCCTCCCCCAATCCGGCTTCTGCTCCAGGAATGGGGGGGGGGGTGAGCCCCGTCCCAACCTCCCTTCTTCTCCCGGAAGTGGAGCTTCCACTCCGGATTGCTGCTCTGCTCCGTAGCTCTAGGGGGGGCGCTTTCGGAAAGGGGAGGGAGGAGGCAGAGGACCCCCCCCCGTGGATGTTGCAGAAAAGGAAAGGAGAATCGGGAGGGAGGACAAAGAGGTAAAGGGGTCGCCGGGGGGGGGGAGAGGGGGGTAAGGACCCAGAGACCCCCGCCAGCTCCCCCAAGCGCCTTCCGTGGGGCCTGGATCCCGGCACGCGTGCTGCGAAGGGGCGGACATGGGGCGCCCACCCACGAGGACTCCCTGGCCCCGTTTCCCCCGCGCAGGCATCCCTGGGGGGCGGATAGAAGCGGGCCAGGAAAGGGTTAAGGGGTGCGGGAGGCGCCGGGATAGAGACCCCCCTGTCCCTCCCCATGTCGTCTTGGGGGCCCCCTCCGAATGGAGAGATGGGGGCGCATGGCGAGGGGTGAGCCAAGGGGGCCCTAGGGGGGGCCAAGAGCGGGGGTAGGAGGGGGCACCCCCGGGAAAAGGAAGCGCAGCATAGGAGGGGGGAGATAGCCGGAGGGGCCGCCTTGGCTTCTCGCTCCCGCCCAGGAATCGGGCACCCCCTCAAGGCGACCAGAGAGGGATCCCTGGAAAGTGGGGGTCCTGTCCCCCCACCCTTCCTTCCTTCACCCCATAATCCCCTGCCCTGTCCAGACGCAGCAATTCTGCCCAGTCCAGCCATTGGTCCCCTGGAGAGGAGAGGAAATCCCGAGAGGAAGGGGGGAGGGGGGAGGCCTTCTCAGAAGCGGCTCTATGTTTCCGCAATCCCACCCAGGAAGCAGCCAGAAACCTTTTCCTCTCTCTCAGGCTTCCATCTTTATTGTCTTTTCCACTGAGGAAGAGGATAATGTACACCTGTCATCAGAAACAGGGGTGCAGAGTTCATGGAATGGCTCTCAGGGCTGATACAGAAGTTGCACCTCAAAAGCATTTCTGTTCCTCTTATTCTTTGTAGGCAGTGTCAGAGTGACTGACAAGCTGAGATACAATCCATCAGCATCCGACAACAACGACTACATGAATCTTCCCAGTCAAAGGACCCATTTTCATGATAGACAGTGCCTGTGGCTGGAGGCTCTACACACCGGGTGTGCCTGTGCAGGCCAAAGACTGCCAGTATTAGCACAGGTAAGGTGTGTGACCTTCTCAAATGTACAGACTGTATGTGAATGAGAGTTAGTGGGTGGGATTATAGTTTACAGCAACCCTGTGATTATCTCCACCCATAACATTTTGCGAGCTGATATTGCAGTATGAATTCCAAAATAACTGCAAAAAATCACATGATAATAATAATAATAATAGTACAGTGGTACCTCGGGTTAAGAACTGAATTCGTTCTGCAGCTCCGTTCTTAATCTGAAACTGTTCTTAACCTGAAGCACCACTTTAGCTAATGGGTCCTGCTGCTGCCGCCGTGCGATTTCTGTTCACATCCTGAAGCAAAGTTCTTAACAAAAGGTACTATTTCTGGGTTAGCAGAGTCATAGAATCATAGAATCATAGAGTTGGAAGAGACCACAAGGGCCATCGAGTCCAACCCCCTGCCAAGCAGGAAACACCATCAGAGCACTCCTGACATATGGTTGTCAAGCCTCTGCTTAAAGACCTCCAAAGAAGGAGACTCCACCACACTCCTTGGCAGCAAATTCCACTGTCGAACAGCTCTTACTGTCAGGAAGTTCTTCCTAATGTTTAGGTGGAATCTTCTTTCTTGTAGTTTGGATCCATTGCTCTGTGTCCGCTTCTCTGGAGCAGCAGAAAACAACCTTTCTCCCTCCTCTATGTGACATCCTTTTCTATATTTGAACATGGCTATCATATCACCCCTTAACCTCCTCTTCTCCAGGCTAAACATGCCCAGCTCTCTTAGCCGTTCCTCATAAGGCATCGTTTCCAGGCCTTTGACCATTTTGGTTGCCCTCCTCTGGACACGTTCCAGTTTGTCAATGTCCTTCTTGAACTGTGGTGCCCTGTAACCTGAAGCACCTGTAACCCGAGGTACCACTCTAGACGTTATAGTATTAGTATTTTCCCCCAGCCACTCTGGGCAGCTTACAGTACATATAGGTAAAGGTATAGGGACCCCTGACCATTAGGTCCAGTCGTGGCTGACTGTGGGGTTGCAGCGCTCATCTCGCTTTACTGGCCGAGGGAAACGCCGTCTACCTTCCTGCCGGAGCGGGACCTATTTATCTACATGCACTTTGACATGCTTTCGAACTGCTAGGTTGGCAGGAGCAGGGACCGAGCAACAGGAGCTCACCCTGTCACGGGGATTCGAACCGCCAACCTTCTGATCGGCAAGCCCTAGGCTCTGTGGTTTAACCCACAGCACTACCCGCATCCCTACAGTACATATACAAGACAGTAAAACATCAAACTTTAAAAACCTCCTGATACAGCTGTCTTCTAAATGTCAGATGGTTGCCTACCTCCTTGCCCTCTGAAGGGAGGGCATTCCATGGGGCAGGAGGCCCTCTGCCTGGTTCCCTGGAACTTCACTTCTAACAGCAAGGGAACCAGCAGAAGACCCTCGGAGGCGGACCTCCCTGTCCGGACTGAGCGATGGGGGTGAAGATGCTCCTTCAGGTCCACAGGGCCGAGGTTGAGGAGGGCTTTAGGCTGCAGATCTTGCTCCTCCATAATGATCGAAGACAGATAAGCATGACAGGACCCAAAAAATAGCAAAAATGTAACTCACAGTAAAACCCTGACTTAGCAAACCAAAACATCACTCAAGTAAGAAACAGACAAGCAGAGTAGAGTAATATCAGAATAGGAAGTGGGAGCAAGCGCATTTCAATACTGTAATTTATATATAGTTCAATGTCAGAGAAACCCTGGGACTAGATAACAAGCCTCCAGGTGGACGTGCCCCATCTGCCCTTCACGTTCCTCTTCAGCACGGGCAGAATCTGCCTTCTGGACTGTGGGATTCACGGTTGTTCTCCTCCTCTCCATCCACCAGGGCTTGACTTCAGGTGCAGCAGAATTCCCCAGCCCCCCAAGGATTTGAGACCCATCAGCTTTCCTCACCTGGTTTAGCCGGCCGGTTGAAGCCGTTCTTTGAACCCCTGTTGCATGCTGACAGCTTCTGGAAGCCACAGGTGAGAGCTGAGTGCAGGGTGGGCACCAAGGGTGGAAAAATGACCCCAGAAGGTGCAGGACATGTCCCCCACCCAAGGAACTACTGCTCCCCAACACCCCATGACATCTAAATGCAGGTAGGTAGCCGTGTTGGTCTGACACAGTTGAAATAAAAAATTAAAAAATAGTCCAGTAGGACCTTAGGGACCAACTATGATTGTTCTAGGTATAAGCTTTTGTGTGCATGCACACTTCTTCAGATACACTGACACAGATGTCACCAGACCCTTGTATATCGTGGGAGGGTGGGGTGGGGTTTTTCTCAGAAGGTACTCCTACTACCATCTCCTACTACCCTTCACTATATGAGGAAGTGTGCATGCTCACGAAAGCTTATACCTAGAAGAAACTTAGTTGGTCCCTAAGGTGCTACTGGACTATTCTTTTTTACTTCAGCTGTGTCAGACCAACACGGCCATCTACGATTAAGTACAGTTATGTCCTGCTTTTCAGTGTCACTTTAGGATAGTCAGAAGACGGGGTCGAGATCAGGCAGCACGTCATCGTTATAAAGAACCATTGGGGTGGGTGTTTCCGCCTGGGATTCCCATTTGCCATCTGCTTTCCTTCTGCTTCTCCTGCTCTCTCCATGCAATGTGAGGCATGTAGATGGAGGTCCATCTCCAAGAACAGGAGCTTCCCTGAGCACCCATTCAGCTGACCCCAAGCACCAAGCCTTGTCACTAGTTCTCTGATTGACCTAGACCACAGTCCCTGGAAAGGATGTAGACCTGGGTCTTACATAATGGTCCACATGGACCTCCTGAGGTCAGTGGGACTGTGCAGGTGATTCATGAAGATCTAGAGGTGGAAACGGGGGCAACCACTTGATTTGAAAGGCATTCTCGGAATAAAAATTCTTCCGGTTTCTTGCTAAATGTAGTTTTTATCAATCTCTTTATCTCTTCATAAATCATGTTCCAAAAACTTTGTATCTCTAGACAGGACCACCACATATGGTAGTATGTTCCTATCTGTTCCTTACATCGCCAGCACTTGTTATTATTTGATTTATTTATTTTTGCAAGTTTTACAGGGGTCAGGTACCACCTATAGTACATTTTCATAAGATTTTCCCTTATCACGAAACAATCAGCCCATTCCCCACAGTCCCATTCCCCACAGTCAACACTGTAATCCAGAAAGTATTTAAAAGCATGTTTCAAAGTCCTTCCAAAATTAAGAGCCCTCACAACTCCAGACCCCCCCTGGTCCACTCCAGATTCAAACTTCAAGAACAGCGGCTTATACTCCTGCAAGGCCTCGGATCTCTCCATTTGTGTTACTTGAGGTTCAACAGCAACCTCCTCCATTTTCTTCTGCACTTGCGCTTGCCCTGTCAAAACAGGTTCCTGGGCTGGTTCCTGAATGGTTTCTATATGGGTATTCGCCGTTTGTCCAAAGTTTTTAACTGCAACAGTCATCAAATCCATCTTCTCATGCATCTGCTCCAGCAAAGCACTTGTCTTGCAAAAAGCAAGCACCAAGACTTCTTGTAAACACATTTTTATTCAAGGTTAGAGTCTGGTCTCACGATCCTAATCTTACAGCTGTGAGGTCCCCAGATCGACTCCGGCAACAAATTAACAAGCTCCCTCTAGAGGAGACAATTTCTATTTGTATCCATCTTTTGAAAGCAGGACCAACAAAGGATAATTACTTTCACTTTTCAAATACTTTATTTCTTTTGATTGCAAGAAGCAACATTGGAGTCAATTTGTTTCTCTTTTTTTTTACTATCTGTCAAAAGACGTTCCATTCACAGTCGATGAACTTCCCCATAAATTTCTGTCTCTGACACCCCGTTCCCAGGTTTGAGACGGTAGAAATTTATCTTTCTTTACTCTCTCTCCTGCAGGCTTAAACAGTCAAAAATCCCCCTCTTTTCTCCTGCTTCCAAGAGGGGTTTTGGTGGTAATAAATGAAGGAAATTTAGAACTTTATATACGACTTTCCAGACTTTAGCTTACAAAGTTTTTGCTTCAATCTATTTGCAAAAAACGGGAGGCGGACTTCCTGTTTAGAGCCTTCCCATTTCAGTGCCAAATGAAAATGTTTCTTAATCCAATTTTCCGTTCTACTCACGGGTACTTGTTTAGAGTCCAATTGTCCACAGGAAAAAGTCAGCGCTCTCTGGCAGCGGCTGTGCGGCTTCACTCCGTAAAAGTAGTGGTTGATTCAAAACACCGCGCCACTCACCCCACGTCGCTTTGGATCCCCGAAAAAGGGTTTCCCTGCGAGTAGGGGAGGCGCTCCTGGTGTCAGCCGAATCCCACGTTCCCCGGCTTCCTCCGCCTGGGATTTTTAAAGGGTCTCCGCCCTCGCCGCGGTGGCAAGACCCGATTTTCACAGAGCGGGTTCCTCTCGGTCAGAGGAACTCCGCCATTGCCGATGGCGCTGACCCGGAAGTCGAATTTTATATTTTTAGTCCATAATTCGTTCCAAATATTGGGTTTGATCGTATGTCCCAGGTCCCTCTCCCATTTTACTGTAATTTCTTTGATATCTTCCTCCTTTCTTTGCCAATTCAAAAGTAGTTTGTACATTTTAGAAAGTGTCTTTTGATTATTATATCCTTCTCCAGATAGGATATTTTTTTGTCAAATCCTTTGGTTCTTTTATCCTTTTCAAGGGCGGCTTTTAATTGATAATACTCCAGCCACGTTATTCCCTTCTGTTTCAATTCACTTAGGCCCTTTATTTTCGGATCACTACTTGTTTCCTCTACTAAATCCTTATATGTTAGCCAATCGCTGTTCATATTCATCCTGTGAACTGACATAGATTCCATTGGTGACAGCCACCATGGTGTTTTGGTTACTACTGATTTTTTACTCCTCTCCCATACTTCATATAATGCCCTTCTCACAATGTGATTTAAAAATCCTTTGCGGGATTTAACCTTGTCATAGCCTATGTAGCCATGCCACCCGTACACAATATCCCATCCCTCCAGATCTACTTCCGTGTTTTTAATTAATATCCAGCCCTTAATCCATGTCCAACACACTGCCTCAAAGTACAGTTTAAGGTCAGGGACCGTGAAGCCTCCTTTTTCCTTCAACTCTGTTAGTAGCTTAAATTTTATGCGTGGTTTTTCCCCTTGCCAAATAAACTTGGCAAGGTCTTTCTGCCAATCCTTAAAACACTTTACGCCTCTAATTATAGGTATTGTTTGGAACATAAAAATCATCTTTGGCAATACCATCATTTTAACTGTGGATATTCTCCCCCACCGGGATAAATGCAATTTTCCCCAAGTTTCTAATTCTTTTTTTATTTCCTTCCACTTCTTCTCATAATTGTCCTTATATATGTTTATATTCTTATTGGTGATCCAAACCCCCAAATAATTTACCTTATTGGCTACCTTTAAACCTGTTGTATTTTCCAGTTCCTCTTGTTCCAACTTACGTAAATTTTTCATTAATAATTTGGATTTTCCTTTATTCAGTTTGAACCCAGAGACTTTCCCAAATTCTTCCAGTTGTGCAAGCGTTTTTTGGATACTTTCCACTGGATTTTCAGTGGTTACGATTACATCATCGGCAAAGGCTTTAATTTTGTAGTATCGAGTTCCTAGGTTAATTCCTCTTATATTTTTATCCTTTCTTATTGCTATTAAAAGTGGTTCCAAGGTGGCAATAAAAAGAAGTGGGGAGAGAGGGCACCCCTGTCGTGGCCCCCCTTTCGATGCTGAACTCTTCGGTGATCTCGTTATTTATTAGCAATTTTGCTTTTTGGTTATCATATATCGCCCTAATTCCATTAATTATTTTCTCCAGACCTTTGAAAGTTTCCAATAGGAAATTCCATGATACTCTATCAAAAGCTTTTTCTGCATCAACCAATAACATGGCCATCTTTTTACTTGGTTTCATTTCCACATATTCCAACAGGTCAATTATTATTCTTGTATTGTCTTTTATATGTCTATCCGGTAAGAAGCCCGCCTGGTCTCTGCTGATTATTTTGTTTAGAGTCTTTTTTAATCTATTAGCCATCACCCCAGCATAGATTTTATAGTCTGTATTCAACAGGGAGATTGGTCTATAATTTTTCATGTCTGTCAACTCCACTCCCTGTTTTGGGATTAGAGTGATCAGTGCTTCTTTCCATTATTGTGGTATATCTTTCCCTCCCAGTATATTATTCATTATTCTTTGTAATATAGGGAGGATTACTTCTTCCAGGTTCTTATAGTACATTAATGTGATTCCGTCAAGACCTGGCGATTTGCAACTCTTCATTTTTTTTTATTACTTGTGCCATTTCATCTGTTCCTATATTGGAGTTTAGGGCCTCAACTTCTTCTTTTTCAATTCTTGGTAATTTATTTTGTGGTAAATACTCTTCCATTTTATTAACCTCTAAATGTTCTTGTTTATACAAATCTTTATAAAAGTTTAAGAATTTTATTTTTATTTTTACTGGGTCTGTTATTTCCTCTCCTTGGTCCAAAATTTTATTGATAACTTTTTTTGTTTGCTTTTCCTTTATCATCCATGCTAACAACTTACCGGGCTTATTGGCGGACTCAAAATACCTTTGTTTTCCCCATTTAATTTTATTTTCTACTTCCTTATTTAATATACTAGAGATATGGGATTGCAATATCTTTATTTTTTGTAATATTTCATGACTTTTTGGATTTTTGATCAACTCTTTTTCATTAATTCTTATCTGTTTAGTTAGCTCTTGGATATTATTGTCTTTTATCTTCTTCAGCCTAGCCATTTGTTGTATTCCAAGACCCCTCATGTACGCTTTACTAAACTACATTTATGTCTGCATTTTGTTTCCCATTTATCTCGAAAAATTCCGCTAACTTGATTTTTGCTTGCGTCACCCATTGGTCGTCTCTCCATATAATTTTTACTAGGAATGGTTTCAGATAATATTCCCAAAAACAAAACTAGGCTATTTATGTACGCAACGTCAGCAGCAAGGGTTGTAGTGGCAAAACACTGGAAAGATAAAAATATACCCACTAAAGAGGAATGGGTAGTCAAATTGTGCGAGTACTTGGAGCTCGCAAAGCTGACAGATGCAATAAGAGATAAACCTTAAAAATGGTGAAAGAAGAATGGGAATATTTAAATAATTATGTAGGGGACAAGGGCTCAACAAGAAAGACCTGGCTATGTTTAGAATGATACCGCATAGAGAAATGCTCCCTGATACCAAGATGAGGGATTCCTTTGGAATGCAGATAGAGAGAATTGATAAGAATAATGATCTGTTGTGAGCTTGACGGAAGTGTACAATAGATGAGCTTTCCTGCTTTGGCTCATTTTTCTTTTTCTTTTTCTCTTTTTCTTTTTTCTTTTTCTTTTTTCTTTTATCTTTCCCATAGTTGCTTTTGTTCTGTGTCATGTACCTCAATATTTTTTGTAGTCTTTTTTCTTTTTTTTTCATTACTATTAAGGAATTTTCCTTTGTAATTTTGGTTGTTTATATTTCTAAGTACCTGTTTACATGTACCTGTTTAAAGCAAAATAAAAGTTTAAAAAAAAAAGAGAAGAAGAAAAAAGAAAGAAAGGCAGTCTCAGAGGACAACGGTATACTAAGATCATTCTGTGTTATTAAAGATGATTGAGGATTATGAAAGGTTGCTGATGCATTACTACCATTTGACATCATACCATTTTAATTTCCTAAAAATTGGGAACATGGGTAGGACATGGGAGAATGTAGGAGATGTTGAAATACGAGAAGGTGCTAATGGAGGTTGATGTGTCCTTTTTTTTCTGTGTTCTCTTTCCTGAAACCCAAACAGGATTTCCTTTCTGCCCACTCTGAAAAAGGTGATGGAGAAGACAGAATTGCAGGGGACAGGGCACCTTTCGTTTCATTAGGAATAGCCATTAAAATGTGTGAAATGTGGAATATGCTTCACTGAATGAGCACACATAGTTCACATCAACAAACACAAAAAGGAAAGAACCCACTTAAAGGTATGGAGTGCGGAAAGAGCTTCTGTTTCAATGCAAAACTTAGAACACACCTGCGGACTCACACAGAGAGAAAACGTTTTAAGTGCAGGGAGTGTGGGAAGAACTTCAGTCAGAGTGGAAACCTTAAATTGCACAAACGGACTCACACAGGGGAGAAACAATATGAATGCCTGGAGTGTGAAAAAAGTTTTCATGATAGTGGAAACCTAAGAAGACATCAACAGACTCACACCGGGGAGAAACCATTTAAATGTATCGAGTGTGGAAAGAGCTTTAGTGATAATGGAAGCCTTAGGAAACATCAACGGACTCACACAGGAGAGAAACCATATGAATGTATTGAGTGTGGAAAGAGCTTTAGTGATAATGGAAACCTTAGGAAACATCAACGGACTCACACAGGGGATAAACCATTTAAATGTATCGAGTGTGGAAAGAGCTTTAGTGATAATGGAAGCCTTAGGAAACATCAACGGACTCACACCGGGGAGAAACCATTTAAATGCATGGAGTGTGGAAAGGACTTCAGTCAGAGTGGACACCTTAGGGAACATCAACGGACTCACACAGGGGAGAAACCATATAAATGTATGGAGTGTGGAAAGAGCTTTAGTGATAATGGAAGCCTTAGGAACCATCAACGGACTCACACCGGGGAGAAACCATTTAAATGTATCGAGTGTGGAAAGAGCTTTAGTGGTAAGGGAAGCCTTAGGAACCATCAACGGACTCACACAGGGGAGAAACCATTTAAATGCATGGAGTGTGGAAAGAGCTTTAGTGATAATGGAAGCCTTAGGAAACATCAACGGACTCACACAGGGGAGAAACCATTTAAATGCATGGAGTGTGGAAAGGACTTCAGTCAGAGTGGACACCTTAGGAAACATCAACGGACTCACACAGGGGAGAAACCATTTAATTGTATCAAATGTGGAAAGAGTTTTAGTAATAATGGAAATCTTAGAACACATAAACGGACTCACACCGGGGAGAAACCATTTAAATGTATCGAGTGTGGAAAGAGCTTTAGTGATAATGGAAGCCTTAGGAACCATCAACGGACTCACACAGGGGAGAAACCATTTAAATGCATGGAGTGTGGAAAGAGCTTTAGTGATAGTGGAAGCCTTAGGAAACATCAACGGACTCACACAGGGGAGAAACCATATAAATGTATGGAGTGTGGAAAGAGCTTTAGTGATAATGGAAGCCTTAGGAACCATCAACGGACTCACACCGGGGAGAAACCATTTAAATGTATCGAGTGTGGAAAGAGCTTTAGTGGTAAGGGAAGCCTTAGGAACCATCAACGGACTCACACAGGGAGAAACCATTTAAATGCATGGAGTGTGGAAAGAGCTTTAGTGATAATGGAAGCCTTAGGAAACATCAACGGACTCACACAGGGGAGAAACCATTTAAATGCATGGAGTGTGGAAAGGACTTCAGTCAGAGTGGACACCTTAGGAGACATCAACGGACTCACACAGGGGAGAAACCATTTAATTGTATCAAATGTGGAAAGAGTTTTAGTAATAATGGAAATCTTAGAACACATAAACGGACTCACACCGGGGAGAAACCATTTAAATGTATCGAGTGTGGAAAGAGCTTTAGTGATAATGGAAGCCTTAGGAACCATCAACGGACTCACACAGGGGAGAAACCATTTAAATGCATGGAGTGTGGAAAGGACTTCAGTCAGAGTGGAAACCTTAGGAACCATCAACGGACTCACACAGGAGAGAAACCATATGAATGTATTGAGTGTGGAAAGAGCTTTAGTGATAATGGAAGCCTTAGGAACCATCAACGGACTCACACAGGGGAGAAACCATTTAAATGCATGGAGTGTGGAAAGGGCTTCAGTCAGAGTGGAAACCTTAGGAACCATCAACGGACTCACACAGGGGAGAAACCATATAAATGTATGGAGTGTGGAAACAGCTTTAGTAATAGTGGAAGCCTTAGACAACATCAACGGACTCACACGGGGGATAAACCATATAAATGTATCGAATGTGGAAACAGCTTTAGTAATAATGGAAGCCTTAGGAACCATCAATGGACTCACACGGGGGAGAAACCATTTAAATGCATGGAGTGTGGAAAGAGCTTCAGTCAGAGTGGAAACCTTAGAAATCATCAACGGACTCACACAGTGGAGAAACCATATAAGTGTATCGTGTGTGGAAAGAGCTTTAGGAACAGAGGATATCTTAGAACACATCAACGGACTCACACAGGGGAGAAACCATATAATTGTATCGAGTGTGAACTGTCGCCGGAAGACCCCCCCCCTTCATTACATTGTAATGCACAAGCACCACACACACCTCCCATTTCCCCAAACCGGGCGATGCCCCTTCTAGAGGGGCATCACCTCAGCAGATGATAGCCTTCCGTAAATAAGGAAGTGTTGATTTCCTTTAGAACGCCTTTATTTCTATGTATTTTCTTCTACGTCCCGCTTTGCCCTATCTTTAGTGTGAGTAGACCGGGCGCCTGAACTCCAGGTCAGCCGGCAGCCGTTTCAGCCAATCAGTGTTACCGAACAGCGCCCCTTGTGGCGGCCACGCTGGTACTGCAGGCAACAGGCCCTCGCTTCTCTGTCTTTGACAGCTTCCTAATACAAATTTTCCGGGTTCAATTGACCGTGACTGATTTAATCAAAATGTTGCAACCACTTCCTGAGAGGTGAAAGTGCTTTGAACTTCAACAACAGTATTCTTCATAAATTCACCATAAATCAACCATACATCGGATTTTCGCCAGACCACTTTTATTCTACTCCATATTACAAGGACTGTCAAAGGGGGGTGGCTTGATGTCAGTCAGCCATAATCCCTTGACCGAGCAGGCACGTACTCTGCAGCCCTTCCCCAGTTGACTCAGCAACCTTGATAGTCATCTTGATGGGCTCAGAAGAAGGACTATCAAAGACACAATGAACTGCATACACTAGTGTATTCAGCATGGACTATGACAAAGGAACTGTGACCGGAGTCCCCTCAGGGGCCAGGAAACTGCACCTTTCCCTTTGTCCTCTGGAAAAGCTTATGGTGAGGAAGGGAGGGGGCCCCCGCCAGGTGTCAGGATACTCGGATTAACTGTGCGACCCCTCCCCTGACTCCTCCTGTTCTTAATGTAGTCATGATGTAAATATGATGTATTTCTAGGGGTGTAACTTAGGGGATTAGGAGCTAATAAAAGTTGGGGTCTCCTTTTGTTCTGGGCTTCCATCTTGCTTCACCTCGTGGGCGGTGGGAGTCCTGTCGCGATAGTCTTTTCTTCAATAAAGACCAAGCCTAAAGGCTGCTGATTTGCTTCCAATTTGCTCTGGTTGGTGTCTTTGTTTTCGTCCAAGGGAGCCCTCAGATTCTCCGGTAACAGTTTTGGCGACCGTGCTCAGGGACACTTGGTTCTCCTGTAGAGGTGAGGAGGGAGATAATAATAATAATAATAATAATAATAATAATAATAATTTATTATTTATACCCCGCCCATCTGGCTGGGCTTCCCCGGCCACTCTGGGCGGCTTCCAAAAGAATATTAAAATACTATAATACATCAAACATTAAAAGCTTCCCGAAACAGGGCTGCCTTCAGATGTCTTCTAAAAGCCTGGTACTTGTTGTTCTCTTTGACATCTGGTGGGAGGGTGTTCCACAGGGAAGGCGCCACTACCGAGAAGGCCCTCTGCCTGGTTCCCTGTAACTTGGCTTCTCGCAGTGAGGGAACTGCCAGAAGGCCCTCGGCGCTGGACCTCAGTGTCCGGGTAGAACGATGGGGGTGGAGACGCTCCTTCAGATATACTGGACCAAGGCCGTTTAGGGCTTTAAAGGTCAGCACCAACACTTTGAATTGTGCTCGGAAACGTACTGGGAGCCAATGTAGGTCTTTCAAGACCGGTGTTATGTGGTCTCTGCGGCCGCTCCCAGTCACCAGTCTAGATAGAGGAGATTGGGCGCCACTGGGCAGCCTTAGCCCAGGGATCTTTTCTCCTCTCCCTGCCTCACCTTTGCGGGCGGTAATCAACCGTCACCGAAACCTCAACCAGGGGAAGCAAAGGCAAGGTCAAGCCGGCTAAGGGGAAAGATCCCGGGATCCTCGAGGGACATCTACGAACGTGAGTATGGTTTGAAGAAAATACATTGGGAGGGGGGTGGAAAGCAACGTCCCCACGACAGCCAGACCTTTTCCTCCTTCTATCTCTGACGTTACCTCTCGGAGTCGTCCAGGAACGTCCTAAACTTTCTCTTTCTCTCCCCCTATTTCCCTTTCGGAGCTGGGCCGGGGAAATTGTGGAACCTTTGTTGTCTTCCGACGTTACCTCTCGGAGTCGTCCAGGAACGTCCTAAACTTTCTCTTTCTCTCCCCCTATTTCCCTTTCGGAGCTGGGCCGGGGAAATTGTGGAACCTTTGCTGCTTTCCGACGTTACCTCTCGGAGTCATCCAGGAACGTCCTAAAAAAATCTCTCCTTTTCTCCCCCGTTTTCCCTTTCGGAGCGTGGCCGGGGAAAACGCGGTACTTTGCCATTTCTCTGTCGTCCTCCCTCGGAGTCGTCCGGAGGCGTCCCTACGATTCTCCCTCTCTCCTTTTCTCCCCGTTTTCCCTTTCGGAGTGTGGCCGGGGGAAAACGCGGTACTTTACCATTTCTCTGACGTCCTCCCTCGGAGTCGTCCGGAGGCGTCCATCCAAAACTCTCCTACTCTCTCTCTCTCTCTCTCTCCCCTGATTACGCAAATGAAGCCGCCCCTCCTGCTCGGCGACCCTTGTTGGGGATGACCCGGGTACGTGAGAACGCAAGGTCATTTGCTTCCTTTCTAAACTTTGTTTTTTCTCGGACCTCGATCTTGCACTGCATTGCGCAGGCGTCCAGTAGGGAGCCCGATTTTAGTCTAAAGGCTAGGCAGGAGGCTGTCGTGGAGAGCAGAGCGGGAGGTACACAAATTGGGGCCCCACACTAGGGTTAGTCTTGTAAACAGCGCTGAGGCAAAGGAATTCTGGATCCGTGGTTTGCGTTTCGGGCGAGGAGACCCGTGGTTAGAGTTTCGGGCGAGGAGACCCGTGGTTAGAGTTTCGGGCGAGGAGACCCGTGGTTAGAGTTTTAGGTTCATGTCTGAGATTTTCCCGAAAGTAATTTTGTGACTTACAGATAGGTAGAAACTGGGTTAGTCAAGGGTACGTCAAGTACTAAAAGGATATTTTTCTCTTTTTCCCTGCCCCTCTTTTTTTCCTTTTTCCTTTTCATTGCCCCTTCTTCCCTTGTGTGTGTGCCCACTCTTTCTGTCTTTAGTGTACTGCAAAGAATGGGGCCCATACTTCCAAGCATTCAGGCTGGACTCCTCCAGGCGATAAGGCTTCCGCGGAGCCTTTCCGCCCGAGAGAGGACTCTGATACCCCTCTTCAATTTGTTCTCTTAAACTGGAAAGAGTTGAGAGGGAGGAAAGGACTCTCAAAGTCCAAACTAAGGGACCTTTGCAACATCTCGTGGGTCGCTTTTACCCACCACCTAGAGCCGGCCTCGCAATGGCCACCTCACGGTTCCTTTAATCTTGTGAAGATGCAAGCACTTAAGTCGTATCTGGCAGATGAAAACCCCCGACAACTGTACTATCTCAATGCCTTCGTTGAAGCCCGTGAATTGTTTCAACGGCAACAAACCCAAATCGTTCGGCAAATGGCTGTTTTAAAAACGACCAGGCCTCCTCCATATGATGAGATTAGAGCCCAGGAGGAACAATTGGATAGGACCCTCGTCTCTTTCTACCATCCCGAACCACAAGCCCCCCGACCGCCTGAATCCAGGGCAGGAGACAGAACAGGAGCCGGTGGGGGAGGCGCGGGACCCATGGAAAACGTAACAAATCCACCCGCCGCTGCCCCTTCCCAAGGCGCATCAAGTACATCGCCGCCTAACCCTTCCCCAAGTGCGTCCAATATAGAAGACCAAGTAGATTCGGACCTAGGACCCCTACTTAACGGGCAACTTCTCAACGGAGAAAGAGAGGGACCCGTCTCCAGTAGAACTCGGAATAGGGACAATCTGCAGAACGGAGAAATAGAGGGAGCTTTTCCCCTGAGAGCATTACTTATACCCCCAACCAGGGCAGGAGACCCACCCCGCATGGTTTTTACTCACCAACCCTTCCTTACCTCGGACTTAATGAACTGGTCCGACAAGATGCCCTCTCTGCGGGATGACCCCGACAAATGTCACCGCCAGGTGGCCACCATCTTCTCCACCCACAACCCAACGTGGGCGGATGTACATATGTTGCTTGGGGCTCTTTTTAATGAGGCAGAAAAGAGGGAAATACTGGCAAAGGCAGGAGAAGCTTTAGCTCAGGAAGGCTATCAACCGAACCGACCTGCCTCAATGGCCCCACTGACCGCCCAGACGCTACTTAATGACCCTGACTGGGACTATAACACTGAAAATGGCATATGGGGTTTAAAAAATTTTAAGAAAGCCATCCTAGATGGTATTAAAGCTGCGGGACAGCGAACCGTGAACTGGACCAAAGTCCAAGCCGTCCTTCAAGGACCTGACGAACATCCATCCGACTACTACTCAAGGCTAGTCTCAGCCATTAAAACCTGGGGGGGAATAGATCCGGAGAGCCCGCAGCACGAAGTAATAGTCAAGGGATTTTTCAAAGATCAAGCTACACCCGACATTCGGAAAGCATTAAACTCGCACCTGGGGTATGATGAAAAAACCATAAACGAAATCCTTTCCATCGCTAAGTCCGTTTTCAACTCAAGGGATGAACGGAAAAGAAAAGACCAAAAGCCCGATCTTCCACGGGTGTTAGCCTATGCGGCTGGGGTTCCTACCCCCAAAGAAAAATTTAAGCCATGGGGGCCCGAGCTACTAGATGACCGCGTTTGTTTCAATTGTGATGAAGTAGGGCATATAAGAAGAAATTGCCCCCTTCTGACAGGATCCAAAAAGACCGAATATAGAAATCCAAGACCGTACAGATCAGACTACAGGGAAACCACCCACCCCAGATATAGGGAGTCTACTCCTCCATACCGACCTAATCAATCCCCGACCCGAACGCAACCCTACGCAGAACCCCCTCCTCCACAACCACGACCACGAAATCAACCCCACGACGCTACCAACCCCTTTAAACAGGGAGGTCGCTCCACAAATCCAACTCATGAGATGGTAATGGAAGAATATCAGGCACATTGACAATTAGAAGCAGATCCCGCCTCCTTTTCTTTCCTCTGCCCAGTTTTGCAACTATCCTCTTCCGATCCCATATGCACTATGCAAATTGACGGCCAGTCCTATGATTGTCTCCTAGACACTGGGGCCACCTACTCCACCCTTACGAATAGTCATTTAGCACCGGGGGACGAGACCAGAACCGTAATGGGGCTTGATGGAATCCCCCGAAATTGCCCCCTTTCCGAACCCGCGAAGGTCTCCGTTGGACCTCTATCGGTTAAACATACCTTTCTACTAACTTCCAGTCCAGTTAACCTCCTGGGGAGGGATCTGCTATGTAAACTGAACGCTACTATTCAATGCGGCCAAGAAGGAATTTACTTGCACATGCCAAACGACTCCATTTTCAACTTCCAAGGGGTTCTTCAAGAGGCTAACAACAAAATCACTGACCTTCCTCCCGAGCTTCTTAATAGTGTTCCCCCTTGGTTATGGGGAACCGAATCAACATCCGTTGGACTCCTAAAGTCGGCAACCCCAGTAAAAGTTAACTACAGGAAGGACCTACCATTCCCCTGTACAAAACAATACCCCTTGCCTCCCGAAGCAATCGAAGGACTAACCCCAATGATTGATGAATTTCTGAAGATGGGAATTCTAGTTCCCTGTGCCTCGCCGTGTAATACCCCGCTTCTCCCTGTCAAGAAGCCTAATACTAAGCCTGTCAAATGGCGTCTCGTCCAAGACCTTCGACTCGTCAATTCTTTTGTTATCCCCAGACACGCTGTTGTAGCCAATCCCCACCACCTTCTGAGCACGATCCTGGAGGGAACTGTAGTTTACTCCGTCATAGACCTATGTTCCACCTTCTTTAGCATTCCCGTGGACCCAGAAAGCCAATTTCTCTTTGCCTTTACCTGGCAAACCGGTCAATTAACGTGGACCCGGTTACCCCAGGGATATGTGGAGTCTCCGGCAATCTTCTTTTCCATATTACACCAAGACTTATTAGACGTGAACCTTCCGGGAGGCTCCGCCCTCAGGCTCTATGTGGATGACATCTTACTTTGTGGGCGGGATTTGGAATCCTGTAAATCAGACACTATAGCCCTCCTGACAATACTGGCACACAAGGGACACAAAGTATCCCCCAAAAAGATACAGTACTGCCAAAAGGAAGTGAAATATCTTGGCCACATCCTTGGAGAAGGCACCCGTGCCCTCGCCACAGATAGGATTGAAGCCATAACGAAGCTGCCCCTCCCTAAGACTAAGAGGCAGCTCAGGGGTTTCATCGGGATGAGTGGGTTTTGCCGAGCATGGATCCCCCGCTACGGAGAATTCACTCGCCCCCTCACCGCAATGACACATGACAATGCCCCAGACCACTTACAATGGACTGCAGAGGCACTCGAAGCCTTTGAATCTATCAAACGGGAGCTGAGGTCTTCACCTGCCCTCGGACTCCCCGACTATAGACTACCTTTCTCTTTATTCGTTCATGAAAATAAAGGAGTAGCCTCGGGTGTCCTTACGCAACCTTTTCAGGGAAGAAACAGGCCCGTCGCTTACTACAGCCTTCAACTGGACACTACCATAATGGGGAATGTGGGGTGCCTTAGAGCAGTGGCAGCTGCAGCACTACTCCTAGAAAAGGCGCAGGAGACCGTCTTGGGACATGAACTAACCGTAAATGTTCCCCATGCTGTGGCCACCCTCCTCAGCTTGCAAGGATGTCAGCGCTTCACGATCCAAAGACTGAATAAATACGAAGCCATCCTCCTCAGTCCGTCTAATGTTACCATAAAAAGAGTAAACTCCCTCAATCCGGCAACCCTCCTACCCCTTCCTGACGATGGTACCCCGCACCACGACTGTTCCCAGGTGGTCCGACACGCCGAAAAACCACGTGAGGACCTCGACTATCTTCCCTTAAGTAACCCCGACCTTATATTGTACACCGACGGGAGCTCAAAAATTGTGGGAGGGGAGCGGAAAAGCGGATATGCAGTTGTTAGCGACACTGACGTCCTGGAAGCGCGTCCTGTCCATGCTAGGTTTAGCGCACAGGCTGCTGAACTTATTGCCTTGATCCGAGCCTGCGAATTAGCAGCAGGACAGAGGGTCACTATTTACACAGATTCTAAATATTGCTTTGGGTTAGTTCATGCCACCGGACAAATCTGGCTACAGAGGGGTTTTCTGACCGCTGCAGGCACCCAAATAGCCCACGCACCTCTAGTACAACGTCTTATGGATTCCATACATCTTCCCGAAGAAATAGCAGTAGTCCATTGTAAAGCCCATACCAAGGGAAAAGACCCAGTATCAATGGGGAACCGCTGTGCTGACCGCGTGGCACAAGAAGCAGCCCTCCAACCACTGTCTGCAGATGGTGAATTCAATGGACCCCAGGTTCCGTCGGACGTAGACTTTAACCTAATGTATAAAACCGCCACCCCAGAGGAAATAAAGGGATGGGAAGAGCAGGGAGCTCTCTTTCGCAACGGCATATGGTACCTCCCTGACAAGAGACTCATAATGCCCAGGCTTTGGGTTCCCAAACACATAAGAATCCTACATCAGTGTACTCATTGGGGAAGGGACAAGCTCGTAGATTTTGTCCAACGCTGCTGGTACGCTCCAGGACTGGCTCTGGCCGCAAAAAGCAGCAGTAAAGAATTGTCACACCTGTCAAACCTTTAATCCAAAGCATACTGCCAGATGTCCACCAGGAGCCAGACCGTGGGCTTTTGTCCCCTTCGAAAGTCTCCAAGTCGACTTTATAGATTTACCCCCTTGTCAGGGCTACAAGCATGCCCTTGTCATTATTGACCAATTAACCGGATGGGTAGAATGTCTCCCGATTTGCCGAGCTACTGCCCAAATGGTCGCAAAGACTCTACTGCATGAAATAATACCACGTTTTGGGGTTCCGAGACACATAGACAGCGACAGGGGCTCACACTTCACTTCTGACGTAGTTCAGCAAGTCGCTAAAGCCCTAGGAATCAAATGGAGGTTGCATACCCCATACCACCCCCCTTCCTCAGGGCAAGTTGAACGAATGAATCAGCAGTTAAAGTCTCAGCTAGGAAAGCTCTGCAGGGACTCTGGAATTAAGTGGGTCAATGCCCTCCCCTTGGTCTTACACAATCTCAGAGCATGCCCCCGTGGGAATCTGAACTTGTCTCCTTACGAACTACTTTTCAGAAGACCCTCCCCCGTATATAGCACGCAATTTCCCCCATCCGAACTAGAAGTAGGCGAGTCTGAATTGACCAAATATATAATGCAGCTCCAGAAGCAACTCATTGTTCTCCACAGATATGCAGCAGCGAGCCAGAACATACCCCTCGACGAGAACATCCATCCGTTCCGACCAGGAGACTGGATATTGGCAAAGGCTTACCAGAAAGTACCCCTACAACCTACCTGGGAAGGACCTTACCAGGTCCTTCTCACAACCCCCACCTCCGTCAAAGTAGCGGAGAAGTCGGCCTGGCTGCATCACACCCGCTGCAAACCTGCTTCACCACCTGATCCTACCGACGACGACGCACCCTACTCCACTCCCCCACAACTGGCAGAGGACGCCGCCGACATAGAGGTAACCCAACAGACCGGACCAGATCGGGGCACGAATCGGGCCCAACAGACCGGACCAGATCGGGACACGAATCGGGCCCAACAGACCGGACCAGATCGGGGCGCGCATCGAGCCCTACAGACCGGACCTGCTTCAACGTCAGCGCCGACCCATTGGACCTCCGAAATCATCCCAACGACGGACCGCCAAGAGCACCCACCGATCCACCTCCGACTCCGAAAGACATCACAGCTCACCATTTGACAGCTCGCCTTTGACAGCTCGCGTTTGACAGCTCGCCGTTTGACAGCTCGCCGTTTGACAGCTCGCCTTTGACAGCTCGCCGTTTGACAGCTCGCCGTTTGACAGCTCGCCTTTGACAGCTCGCCGTTTGACAGCTCGCCGTTTGACAGCTCGCGTCTGACAGCTTGCCTTTGACAGCTCACCTTTGACAGCTCGCCTTCCCTCATCATGCTTCCCATAAAATGCATCATGCCTGCTTTCTCCATCCTCCTCATGTTCCCCATTCTTACCGCAACATTCACTGCCATGAACACACATGCTTCATGCCCAGGAATACAAATCGAACACCACTACCTGCATTTCGGAATTGTGGACATGGTAAAAAAAGGAACCTTAGACCGCCTCGGAGACTTTGACTTCTGCATACCAGAGACCCGTGTCCTCCTCCGCCATTCCATACTGCCTACCATGACCACACACCAGACTTGGGAACTGTTTATCCGCTCTTCAAATTACACCCTACTCGGCAAGCTTATACTCAGCAGAGATGGTCCCTGGAACCGAGCCCGCTGTATAAATGGTTCCTATACACTATTCTCTGACGGTGTACCCCAACAACCACTGAACTGGACAAATTTAGATAATGGTGGCGGCGAATCAGTTTACACTGACCATAATCATCCGACCAACCGTATAATCCACGGGTTTTACTGCCAGAGAGTAGACACTGCACCCCGCCCAACCACCCTACAAGGAGTTTGCCTCCGAAGGTACTGCTGTGTCTGGGACATTGGCCTTGCTTCTACTTGGGACGGCAGAGCATACCTTGAGGGATTGTATCACTCCACCACACCACCAACGCAGTGGGATACCTCCGGGCCTCAAAGATGTGGCGGTCTAGCTACAAATCTCACCTACCTACTTCGACAAGACCCTCTCCACCCCACGGGTACAGCACCTCGACAAAGGGGGGAACTGTCTATATCTCAAACTCCAACCAATAGCGACCTATTGTCCACCTGGCATTCCAACACCTATGTGAAACTAGTCTCTGAAATCGCAAAGCAAACTGCCACTGACAACTGCTGGATCTGTGCCAACGCTCCTGCCCACCTCCACAGCGGTATACCATTCCTTGGAGTACCCCTCACCTTACAACAACATCTTTCCGCTGATGTACGGTCCTGGAACTTGACTGCTGTAAATTTAACTCACCAGTACATCTACCTCACTGGACCCACGAAAGGTGACCTCTGCCGGAAGTTTAGCGGCAACGACAGGATGATTGGAGAAAGTACTTGTAAGTACCTCATTGATATTCCCCTAATCGGTAGAATCACTGTGTGGCGACAGGGCATCCCCTCCACCCATCCAGATCTGTTGTCAGCCTGGAAACAAGTCATGGATTTACCTGACACTTGGGACCCCTCCCCCAGCTCCCACTGTTTTTTTCGTACCTTTCTCACGGGCTGTATAGACTCCTGCCTACAAGGACTGTTTTGGGTGTGTGGTCACTGCGGCTATGTATGGGCTAGCCCCCACTCCCGAGGCACCTGCTACCTTGGACTTATCTTGCCTGGGATCAGGGTCACCCCAGACCTTCCCCTTGGGAGGAGGCGCAACAAGAGAGCTAAGGACCTGTCGGAACTCTCCGATGTGTCAGCCAACGGGGAAACCTATGGACGGGCCCTTTTCCCCGCCTACGGAGCAGGCTCCAACCACGTTGACATCCTTAAACTAACAGACATTTTATTAACCTTTATGGAGGAATCCAACGCCGCAACCCAATCCATCTTAACAGAGCTGACTGAGGTCAGACACATGGCGATCCAGAACCGCCTTGCTTTGGACTATATTCTAGCTTCAACCGGAGGAGTATGTGCACTTGTGGGAACCGAGTGCTGCACATACGTCTCTGATCAGACCCTGAACATTACGGGTCATCTCAACAATATCCACAAACTGACCGACGACCTTAGAAATATTCAACACGAAGGTCTGTCTGATACCCAACTTTGGGGCTGGTTACCAGGCGCCACGTGGATAAAACAGCTCCTCGGAAATGGCCTCCTTATTCTAATCGCCGTAGCCATTTGTGTCGCTTTCTTCTGCTGCGCCATCCATTGCTTTCCACTTTGCTGTCAAACGTGCGAATACTGCGTCCCGTCTCTCCACTCCCGCACCACTGTTTCTCAGAGGATGATCCCGGCGGGAACCCCTTCGACTTTCATCGAGATGGGACCCCAAGGAGCCCAGCTCAACCCGGACCCTAGGTATGGCATGTCAGACTTTTATTAAGCTTGTGCGGAGAAAAGGATTGCACGGTGTCCACCTTCGTAATCTTATCTCCGAAGGGGGGAACTGTCGCCGGAAGACACCCCCCCTTCATTACATTGTAATGCACAAGCACCACACACACCTCCCATTTCCCCGAACCGGGCAATGCCCCTTCTAGAGGGGCATCACCTCAGCAGATGATAGCCTTCCGTAAATAAGGAAGCGCTGATTTCCTTTAAAGAACGCCTTTATTTCTATGTATTTTCTTCTACGTCCCGCTCTGCCCTATCTTTATTGTGAGTAGACCGGGCGCCTGAACTCCAGGTCAGCCGGCAGCCGTTTCAGCCAATCAGTGTTACCGAACAGCGCCCCTTGTGGCGGCCACGCTGGTACTGCAGGCAGCAGGCCCTCGCTTCTCTGTCTTTGACAGCTTCCTAATACAAAGTTTCCGGGTTCAATTGACCGTGACTGATTTAATCAAAATGTTGCAACCACTTCCTGAGAGGTGAAAGTGCTTTGAACTTCAACGGCAGTATTCTTCATAAATTCACCATAAATCAACCATACGTCGGATTTTCACCGGACCACTTTTATTCTACTCCATATTACAAGGACTGTCAAAGGGGGGTGGCTTGTTGTCAGTCAGCCATAATCCCTTGACCGAGCAGGCACGTACTCTGCAGCCCTTCCCCAGTTGACTCAGCAACCTTGATAGTCGTCTTGATGGGCTCAGACGAAGGACTATCAAAGACACAATGAACTGCATACACTAGTGTATTCAGCATGGACTATGACAAAGGAACTGTGACCGGAGACCCCTCAGGGGGCAGGAAACTGCGCCTTTCCCTTTGTTTTCCGGAAAGGCTTATGATGAGGAAAGGAGGGGGACCCCCGCCAGGTGTCAGGATACTCGGATTACCTGTGCGACCCCTCCTCTGACTCCTCCTGTTCTTAATGTAGTCATGATGTAAATATGATGTATTTCTAGGGGTGTAACTTAGGGGATTAGGAGCTAATAAAAGTTGGGGTCTTCTTTTGTTCGGGGCTTCCATCTTGCTTCACCTCGTGGGCGGTGGGAGTCCTGTCGCGACAGTCCTTTTCTTCAATAAAGACCAAGCCTACTGGCTGCTGATTTGCTTCCAATTGCTCTGGTTGGTGTCTTTGTTTTTGTCCAAGGGAGCCCTCAGATTTTCCGGTAACATTCTCTTCTCATGAGGTGGCCAAAGTCTTGGAGCCTCAGCTTCAGGATCTGTCCTTCCAGTGAGCAGTAGGGCTGATTTCCTTCAGAATGGAGAGGTTTGATCTTCTTGCAGTCCATGGGACTCTCAAGAGTCTCCTCCAGCACCATAATTCAAAAGCATCAATTCTTCGGCGATCAGCCTTCTTTATGGTCCAGCTCTCACTTCCATACATCACTACTGGGAAAACCAGAGCTTGAACTATACAGACCTTTGTCGGCAAGGTGATGTCTCTGCTTTTTAAGATGCTGTCTAGGTTTGTCATTGCTTTTCTCTCAAGAAGCAGGCATCGTTTAATTTCATGACCATCTGCAGTGATCATGGAGCCCAAGAAAGTAAAAACTCTCACCGCCTCCATTTCTTCCCTTTCTATTTGCCAGGAGGTGATGGGACCAGTGGCCATGATCTTCGTTTTTTTTGATGCTGAGCTTCAGACCATATTTTGCTCTCTCCTCTCTCACCTTCATTAAAGGGTTCTTTAATTCCTCCTCACTTTCTGCCCTCAAGATTGTGTCATCTGCATATCTGAGGCTGCTGATATTTCTTCCAGCAATCTTAATTCCAGCTAGGGATTCATCCAGCCCAGCCTTTTGCATGATGAATTCTGCATATAAGTTAAATAAGGAGGGAGACAATATACAGCCCAAAGAACCATAATAGTATTTACCCATCTCCCGAGCTGCAAGGCTTTAATGGGCTTCTCCTTTGAAAGTATCAGGAGTCAACCCACCATCCCGATGGATTTCTGCCTGGGGCATGTGCTGCCCTTGACCGCCTCCTGCCTCCTAAGGGATTATGGAGTCAGGGGGAGCCCTGGATCCCCCAATTCCAGAGGAGTCATTAGGCTTTGGAACCCAGGAAATCCCTCAAACCGTTGAATGTTGGCGATTATTTGAAGCTTCTTCAGTTTTCTATACAGTATTGGATAGTCGGAGGAAACAGTCCGATTCATGGTATCGGCTTATTGCTACAATTTTATAGGTTGCTTTTCTGAGCCTCTTTGCTGTTGTGCATGGATGGCGCCTGTGTCAATGGTCATTGTCCTGGCCTTACTTAGAGGCTGCGTTGGGGACTTGGGGTTTTTGGGGAGTCGTTTAACCGCCCCCCCATTCCTGGTGTTAATAGCACCAATACCTAAAACGTGGACGGATCTAAGTTCATGGCGTGGGGTGGGGGAGGGAAGAAATTTGCAATGTAAACACTGTTTGTGCGGGATCCCACTTTGCAATTGGATTGATGGGATCAGCCACCCTCTCGCTCTCCTGATCCCCAGAAAGAGGAGGGGAGGGGGGAACCTTCCTCTCCTCCCCCCCCACTCAAACCTTCCCTCCCCTCCTGGCACATTCTCCTCTCACCCTGCCCCCACCATCCCAAATCCCTCCCCCAATACATTGCTCCTCCTCCTCCTCCAATCCGGCTTCTGCTCCGGGAATGGGGGGGGTGAGCCCCCCTCCCAACCTGCCTGCTTCTGCCGGACGTGGAGCTTCCACTCCGGATTGCTGCTCTGACCCATAGCTCTAGGGGCGCGCTTTTGGAAAGGGGAGGAGGGGCGACAGGGAAACCCCCCCCCCCGGATGTTGCAGGAAAGGAAAGGAGAATCGGGAGGGAGGACAAAGAGGTAAAGGGGTCACGGAGGAGAGGGGAGAGAAGGATCCAGAGACCCCCGCCAGCTCCCCAAAGCGCCTTCCGTGGGCCCCGTGGCAGGGCCTGGATCTGTTACCGGAAAATCCGAGGGCTCCCTTGGACAAACGACACCAACCAGAGCAATGTAGAAGGAAATCAGCAGCCTTTAGGCTTGGTCTTTATTGAAGAAAAGACTATCGCGACAGGACTCCCACCGCCCACGAGGTGAAGCAAGATGGAAGCCCAGAACAAAAGAAGACCCCAACTTTTATTAGCTCCTAATCCCCTAAGTTACACCCCTTGAAATACATCATATTTACATCATGACTACATTAAGAACAGGAGGAGTCAGGGAGGGTCGCACAGGTAATCTGAGTATCCTGACACCTGGCGGGAGCCCCCTCCCTTCCTCCCCATGAGTCATTTTCAGAAAACAAAGGGAAAGGCGCAGTTTCCTGCCCCCTGAGGGGAATCCGGTCATGGTCCCTTTGTCATAGTCCGTGTTGAATACACTAGTGTATGCAATTCGTTGTGTCTTTGATAGTCTTTCGTCTGAGCCCATCAAGATGACTATCAAGGTTGCCATATCAACTGGGGAAGGGCTGCAGAGTACGTGCCTGCTCGGTCAAAGGATTATGGCTGACTGGTATCAAACCACCCCCCTTTGATAGTCCTTGTAATGTGAAGCAGAATAAAAGTGGTCCGGTGAAAATCCGATATATGGCTGATTTATGGTGAATTTATGAAGAATACTGTCGTTGAAGTCCAAAGCACTTTCGCCTTTCCGGAAGCGGTTTGCAACATTTTGATTAAATCAGTCACGGTCATTTGAACTCGGAAACTTTGTATTAAAAGACTGTCAAAGACAGAGAAGCGAGCGCCTGCTGCCTGCAGTACCTGCGTGGCCACCACAAGAGGCGCTGTTCGGTAACGCTGATTGGCTGAAATGGCAGCCGATTGACCCGGAGTTCAGGCGGCCGGTCTACCCATAATAAAGGTAGGGCGAGGTGGAGCGTTGCAGGAAAATACATGAAATAAAAGAGTTCTACGCGAAGTTAGCGCTTCCTTATTTACGGAAGGCTTTGGTTGGGGGGGTGATGCCCGTCTAGAAGGGGCATCTCCCAGCTCGGGAGGTGGGAGGTGTGTGTGTGGTGCTTGTGCATTACGATGTAATGAAGGGGGGGTCTCCTGCTACAGATCCCTGCACGCGTGCTGCGAAGGGGGCTTTCCTTGGCCCCTTAGGCGCCTTGGCAGGGGCGGACATGGGGCCCCCACCCAGGAGTCCCCACGAGGGCCTCCTTGCCCCGTTTCCCATACGCAGGCATCCCCGGGGCGCTGTGGGGTTCCCGGGAAGAGAGTCGGGCCTTGAAAGGGTTAACGGGCGCTACAGACGCCTGGATAGAGACCCCACCCCCGTCCCTCCCTTGCTCGTCTTGGGGTGGCCCCTCCGGATGGAAAGATGGGGCACGCATGGCGAGGGTTGGGCCGGGCCAAGGGGGCCTCTGGGTGCAGGGGAGACTCTGGGAGAGAGGGAGGGGGTCGAGGAAGTGGGGGAAGGGAGGGGAGCATCCCAGCAGCATTGGGGGGGGGGGGAGCTAGGAAGACCAGTCTTTGGGGAGACATCTCCATCGTGGTGCCCGCAGGGATTCTCTGGAGGGGCCACCTTGGCTTCTCCCTCCCTCCCAGAAATGGGACAACCCTTCAAGGCGACCAGAGTGGGATCCCTGGAAAGTGGGGGGTCGTGTCCCCCCACCCCTTCCTTCCTGCAAGCTCCATCCTCTTCCCACCCCATAAGTCCCTGCCCTGCCCAGACGCAGCGGTTCCTCCAATTCCATCCATTGGTCCCCCTGGAGAGGAGAGGAAATCCCAAGAGGAAGAGGGGAGGGGAGAGGCCTTCTCAGAAGCGGCTCTATGTTTCCGTAATCCCACCCAGGAAGCAGCCAGAAACCTTTTCCTCTCTCTCAGGCTTCCATCTTTATTGTCTTTTCCACTGAGGATGAGGATAATGTACACCTGTCATCAGAAACAGGGGTGCAGAGTCCATGGAATGGCTCTCAGGATTGATACAGAAGCTGCACCTCAAAAGCATTTCTGTTCCTCTTCTTCTTTGTAGGCAATGTCAGATTGACTGACAAGCTGGGATACAATCCATCAGCATCCGATGACAGCGACTGCATGAATCTTCCCAGTCAAAGGACCCATTTTCATGATAGACAGTGCCTGTGGCTGGAGGCTCTACACACCGGGTGTGCCTGTGCAGGCCAAAGACTGCCAGTGTTAGCACAGGTGAGGTGTGTGACCCCCCCAAATTTACAGACTGTATGTGAATGAGAGTTTGTGGGGGGGTTATAGTTTACGGCAACCCTGTGATTTTCTCCACCCATAACATTTCGTGAGCTGATATTGCAGTACAAATTCCAAAATAACTTTAAAAAATCACAAGATGATGGTGGTGGTGGTGGTGGTGGTGGTGATGATGATGATAATAAATAAAATAAAAATAAAAATTTTATTTATACCCCATCCTCCCCAGCCAAGGCCGTGCTCAGGGGGATGAAAAGAATGATTGCAGAATTTATGCCCTGCCCATCTGGTTGGGTTTCCACAGCCACTCTGGGAAGCTTACAGTACATATACAAGACAGTAAAACATCCAACATTAAAAACCTCCTGATACAGCTGTCTTCTAAATGTCAGATGGTTGCCTACCTCCTTGCCCTCGGAAGGGAGGGCATTCCATGGGGCAGGAGGCCCTTTGCCTGGTTCCCTGGAACTTCACTTCTAGCAGCAAGGGAACCAGCAGAAGACCCTTGGAGGAGGACCTCCTTGTCCGGACTGAACGATGGGGGTCAAGATGCTGCTTCAGGTCCACAGCGCCGAAGCTGTTGAGGGCTTTAGGTTGCAGATCTTGCTCCTCCATAACGATCTCCAGAGTAAGTCTGAGATATAATTAGCAGAGTAGCAAAAAACGCTCAGAGGCAGAAAAAAATAATTCAGCTGAGAAATCTATTACAGTGGTACCTCTGGTTGCGAGCGGGATCCGATCTGGAGGCCAGTTCGCAACATGAGCAGAATGCAACCCACATCTGTGCATGCGTGGGTCGTGATTCGCTGCTTCTGCAAATGCGCGTGACCTGATTTTGCACGTCTGCGCATGCACGAGCGGCAAAACCCGGAAGTAACTGGGATGCCACGGGACACAACCCGAAAAGGCACAACCTGAAGCAAACATAACATGAGGTATGACTGTACTGAGGACAAATAAGCATAACAAGATCCAAAAAATAGCAAAAATATAACTTACAGTAAAACCCTGACTTAGCAAACCAAAACAGCACTCAAGTAAGAAACAGCCAAGCAGAGTAGAGTAATATCAGAATAGGAAGTGGGAGCAGGCGCATTTCAATACTGTAATTTATATATAGTTCAATGTCAGAGTAACCCTGGGACTAGATAACAAGCCTCCAGGTGGACGTGCCCCATCTGCCCTTCACTTTCCTCTTCCGCACGGGCAGAATCTGCCTTCTGGACTGTGGGATTCACGGTTGTTCTCCTCCTCTCCATCCACCAGGGCTTGACTTCAGGTACAGCAGAATTCCCCAGCCCCCCAAGGATTTGAGACCCATCAGCTTTCCTCACCTGGTTTAGCCGGCCGGTTGAAGCCGTTGCTTGAACCCCTGTTGCATGCTGACAGCTTCTGGAAGCCACAGGTGAGAGCTGAGTGCAGGGTGGGCACCAAGGGTGGAAAAATGACCCCAGAAGGTGTAGGACATGTCCCCCACCAAAGGAACTACTGCTCCCCAACACCCCATGACATCTAGATTCAGGTAGGTAGCCGTGTTGGTCTGACGCAGTTGAAATAAAAAATTAAAAAATAGTCCAGTAGCACCTTAGAAAACAACTATGATTGTTCTAGATATAAGCTTTCGTGTGCATGCACACTTCTTCAGATATACTGACACAGATGTCACCAGAGCCTTGTATATCGTGGGAGGGTAGGGTGGGGTGGGGTTTTTCTCAGAAGGGTACTCCTACTACCATCTCCCACTACCCATCACTATATGAAGAAGTGTGCATGCACACAAAAGCTAATGCCTAGAACAAAATTAGTTGGTCCCTAGGTTGATGTTGTTGTTGTTTAGTCGATTAGTCGGGTCCGCCTCTTCGTGACCCCATGGACCAGAGAACGCCAGGCACTCCTGTCTTCCACTGCCTCCCGCAGTTTGGTCAAACTCTGTTAGTAGCTTCGAGAACACTGTCCCACCATCTCGTCCTCTGTCGTCCCCTTCTCCTTCTGCCCTCCATCTTTCCCAACATCAGGGTCTTTTCCAGGGAGTCATCTCTTCTCATGAGGTGGCCAAAGTCTTGGAGCCTCAGCTTCAGGATCTGTCCTTCCAGTGAGCCCTCAGGGCTGATTTCCTTCAGAATCTAGAGGTTTGATCTTCTTGCAGTCCATGGGACTCTCAAGAGTCTCCTCCAGCACCAGAATTCAAAAGCATCCATTCTTCGGCGATCAGCCTTCTTTATGGTCCAGCTCTCACTTCCATACATCACTACTGGGAAAACAATAGCTTTAACTATACGGACCTTTGTTGGCAAGATAATGTCTCTGCTTTTTAAGACGCTGTCTAGTTTTGTCATTGCTTTTCTCCCAAGACCCTAAGGTGCTACTGGACTATTTTTGTTACTTTTTTACTTCAACAGTGTCAGACCAATATGACTACCTACCATTAAGTACAGTTATCTCCTAGCCTTGAATATCCTGCTTTTCAGTGCCTGATTAGGATAGTCCTCTATCAGAAGACAAGCACAGGATCAGGCAGCACATCATCATTATAAAGAACCATTGGGGTGGGGTGGGTGTTTCCGCCTGGGATTCCCATGTGCCATCTACTTCTGCTCTCTCCATGCAATGCAAGGCATGAGGACAGAGGTCCATCTCCAAGAACAGGAGCTTCCCTGATCACCCATTCAGCTGACCCCAAGCACCAAGCCTTGTCACTAGTTCTCTGACTGACCCAGACCACAGTCCCTGGAAGAGATGAAGGCCTGGGTCTCCCAAAATAGTCCATATGGACCTCCTGAGGTCAGTGAGACTGTGCAGGTGATTCATGAAGAACTAGAGATGGAAATGGGGGCAACCACTTGATTTGAAAGGCAGTCCCACAGGACAACAGTATTCCAAGATCATGCTGTGTTATTAAAGATGATTGAGGATTATGAAAGGTTGCTGATGCATTACTACCATTTGACATCATACCATTTTTATTTCCTAAAAATTGGGAACATGGGTAGGACATGGGAGAATGTAGGAGATGTTGAAATAAGAGAAGGTGCTAATGGAGGTTGATGTGTCCTTTTTTTCCTGTGTTCTCTTTCTTTAAACCCAAACAGGATTTCCTTTCTGCCCACTCTGAAAAAGGTGATGGAGAAGACAGAATTGCAGAGGACAGGGCACCTTTCATTTCATTAGGAATAGCCATTAAAATGTGTGAAATGTGGAATATGCTTCACTGAATGAGCACACATAGTTCACATCAACGAACCCAAAAAGGAAATAACCCATTTAAAGGTATGGAGTGCGGAAAGAGCTTCTCTTTCAATGCAAAACTTAGAACACACCAGCAGACTCACACAGAGAGAAAATCTTTTAAGTGCAGGGAGTGTGGGAAGAATTTCAGTCAGAGTGGAAACCTTAAATTGCACAAACGGACTCACACAGGGGAGAAACCATATACATGTATTGAGTGTGGAAAGAGCTTTAGTGATAGTGGAAACCTTAGGAAACATCAACGGACTCACACAGGAGAGAAACCATATGAATGTATTGAGTGTGGAAAGAGCTTTAGTGATAATGGAAACCTTAGGAAACATCAACGGACTCACACAGGGGAGAAACCATATAAATGTATCGAGTGTGGAAACAGCTTTAGTAAAAGTGGAAACCTTAGGAACCATCAATGGACTCACACAGGGAAGAAACCATTTAAAGGCATGGAGTGTGGAAAGAGCTTCAGTCAGAGTGGAGACCTTAGACAACATCAACGGACTCACACAGGGGAGAAACCATTTAAATGCATGGAGTGTGGAAAGGACTTCAGTCAGAGTACACACCATAGAAGACATCAACAGACACACACAGGGGAGAAATCATTTAAATGTATCGAGTGTGGAAAGAGTTTCCGTTGTAATACAAGCCTTAGATCACATCAACGGACTCATACAGGGGAGAAACCATTTACCTGTATGGAGTGTGGAAAGAGCTTCAGTTATAGTGGAAGCCTTAGAAGACATCAACAGACCCACACAGGGGAGAAACCATTTCAATGTATGGAGTACAGTAAATACTTCACTCAGAGTGGAAATCTTAGAAAACATCAGTAGATACACAGGGGAGAAACCATTTAAAGGTATGGACTGTGGAAGGAGCTTCAGTCAGAGTGGAACCCTTGATTTATGTCAACAAACTCACACAAAAGACAAACCATATTAATATCAGGAAAGTAGATAGAGGTTCACTCTTAGTGGAAGTTCAAAATCAACAGACTCACGGACAGGAAGAACTTTAAGAGTTGAAACCCTTCAAACCATCAACAAACTCAGAGAGGAGAAGCAGTTTGAATGAAAAGACTGCAAGAAGTGCTTTATTTATAATGGAGTGATCAAGGAACATCCCAGGACTCTCACATGGGAGAACCCATTTAGATGTATGGAGTGTGGGACATCTTCCTCTCAGAGTCCACTCTGAGCAATGAACTCAGCAGGAAATCATTCCTAAAAGCATCAGGTATATGTGAAGTTCTGGTGTTTATATGTAAAACATTATAATAATGAAATAATGAAGGCAGCATCTCACAATGGTGAGTATAATTTTAGATGAAAGTACTTTTGGTTTTTGCACCAAATTCTGTCACCCCCCCACCACATGATCTCCAAGCACAGTTTCTTCACCAGAACTTCATCGCTGCCTCCTGCCCTGTGCGTTCTGAAGAAAACTTGAAATACTGAAATTGAATGGGAGATTCCCGCCCCCAAGTCTAATTTCAAGATGGGTAAGTAGGGGCTGCAGGTACCAGGGAAGTCTCCTGGGGGGCCCATCTTCACTCATGAATCCCCATGGGGCAACCCCAGAGCTCCTGCTCATTCTGGGGTTTGAGGAAGATAGTATTTTTCCATAGTCCCAGAATTTTTGACTCAGTCATGTACTCTGGAGTTTTCCCACCAGAGGACCACAGTGCTATAGCTGCTGCTGTTGTCATGGACTGGCTGGTGAGGGGGGGGAGGCACCAGTTGGGGGACCCACAAGGGAAGAAGGCTCAGAGCCTGGGGACTGGTGGAGGGATGAGCCGAAAGAGGGAGAAAGGGGAGCAGACCGGAAGGGGAGATGTTGCAAGCTGAGGAGGAAACAGTATTTGGTGAGCAGGAAGAGTCTGGGGCAGAGAGCAGTTCAGGCTCAGAGGGAGGAGAGGAGGGGGCCAGGAGACCCAGAGGAGGCCGGCTGCTGAAGCATCCAGGGAGACTCCCCCTCCTGCTGCGACCAGCTCCCCTCTCCCCTGGTCTAGAGCACACAGGGAAAACCAGTTCAGACCCCATGAGCCTGTACATGATATTAACAGGTGTTTGGTTTTTTGTCCCAACATGCATCACTTTAATCTTATTGATAATGAACTGTATTTTCTGCCCATTCCCCCCGTTTGGAGAAGTCCCTTTGGAGCTCCTTGCAATCTCTCTTTGTTTGAACAACCCTGGACAATTTGCTGCCATCAGCAAACTGCCCCCTCCCTGCTCCCTCCTAAGTCTAGACAGGTCCCAATACTGATCTTGAGGGGACTCCGCTTTCTGCTCCTCTCCATTCAAAGAACTGTCTGTTTACTCTCTTGGTGTTTCAGAAGGAGGGCTGCCTTCCTGGTGGTGGGATGGTGATGAGCAGAAAGAGGGAGAAAAGGGAGCAGAGTGGGAGGGGAGGTGTTGCAAGCTGAGGAGGAAACAGGGTTTGGTGAGCAGGAGGAGTCTGGGGCAGAGAGCAGTTCAGACTCAGAGGGAGGAGAGGAGGGGGCCAGGAGACCCAGAGGAGGCTGGCTGCTGAAGCATCCAGGGAGACTCCCCCTCCTGCTGCGACCAGCACATGCCTTTGCGTCTGGCGGTTAGAACTCTTAGAATGTGGGGATCCCATTTTTCAACCAAAACAAAAACCCGCTAGCCTTTTCCCAGGTCTTTCCTGACCTGACAGTCATTCGTCTTCTCTACGAAGGACTCTACAAAGTCCTTCTCCCTCCCTTTACTTACCATGGGGTCCCAGCAACCTTTTCTGCCTCTTACACGCTATGGAAAAGAGTCCCTTTCCATTGGACGCCTGGCAGCCCAGTGCTAAATCCGGCTGCTCCAGAGAGAACGGAAAGGAACTGTAAACGCCCTTGCGCTCTGACGCGCACCAGTCACTTCCTTCCGGATCCTGGTGCTGCCGGTGCAGCTGCATTTACGAGAAAAAGAGAAATTGGAAACCGAGCCCAAGTCCCTTGCTATCCAAAGTGGCCACTTGGACCAGCCTTGGGGCGTCTTCCTTGGGGAAAAGGAAAAGTTTCAGATCTCAGGTTCCCCGACAGGGAATGAGAGCTTTGATTGGGGTTCTCCCCTTGCAGTCAATTGCCTCTCTAATTGCAGAACCCCAAGTCTCCCGTTCTCCCCTCCCCCTCCTAGCTACCTCTTGCCAGGAAGGCTGGGAGTGAAGACCGTCAGCAAAAGAGACAGCCAAGGATGAGAATCTGGGTTGCTGGGTGTTTCAGAGAATCCCGCCCACAATCTTCTCCATTCCTAGACTCACGTCCGCATGCGCTGCTCCTGGCCATCCCGGGGTCTTTTACTAGATTAATTTATGGCCGGCCTGGGGCTGAAAATAAACTACCAAAAAAATTACTGACAAAAAGCCTCACAATTGAAGAAAAAAAAGAACTTCAAGAAAAAACAGGCCTGGAAATTAAAAATAAGGTTAAATACCTAGGGATCTGGATTTCAAATAAAAGTATAAATGTATATGAGGATAATTATAGCAAAGTATGGAAAGAAATTTTAAAAAATATGGTACCTGGACCAAACTCCATCTCTCACTCTGGGGAAGAGTCTCGGTTGTGAAAATGAATATCCTCCCCAAAATGATTTTCTTATTCCAAACAATGCCCATTTTAGGAGAAATGAATTGTTTTAGGGAGTGGGAAATGGAAATATCTAGATTTATATGGAGTGGAAAGAAACCAAGAATTAAACACCAGTTATTAACAGATCAAATGGAGAGAGGAGGTTTTGCATTGCCAGATTTGGAATTCTACCATGCGGCGGCAGGATTGGTTTGGATAAAAGACTGGATTACACTAAAAGATACGGACCTATTAGACTTGGAAGGCCAAAAGAATCGGTCTGGATGGCACGCTTCTTTAATATTCAAAAAAGTGAAGGTCCACAGGGGATTTTTGAGCCATGTGATAAGACAATCGTGATATAAAATCTGGAATAAATATAAAGGACTACTTGAGCCAAAAATACCCTTGTGGACATCACCAAGAGAAGCCATATACTCATGTTAGAATAGTTACAACTAGCAAAACTGACGGGAAGAGTTAGAGGAGTATTGAACCGGAAAATATTTGGAGAATGGAGAATATTTAAGGATTATATAAGATCATATTGTACCAACCACACCATATTAGCAGAACTTGAGTGATACTTGTAAACATAACAAATACTGTTTGTGGAGTAGACGGGAACAATATTAAAGAATATAAAACTGTGCGAAAGAAACAACGGCAGTATAAACAGCACAATGAGAATGATTGGAAGACTTGTTTTGTCAGAAGTCTTTTTTATTTAATTAGAAAGATTAAGTTTTTCGTGCACATAAATCTGCTTTTTCTTTCTTTTTCTGTATTTTCTTCTTTCCTTTTTTCTTCTTCGTTTTTTCTTTAATTTTCTTTTTGCAGTATGAGATTCCAAATTCTTTATATATGTGTGTAATTTAAATCAATAAAGATTATATTTAAAAATAAATAAATTTGTGGCCGGCCTGATCAAGCGTTGCTTCCTCTGGTTAGCCCCGCTGGAACTCCAGTTCTTTCCAGACCCTGGGGTCACTAGAGCAGCATTTCCCAACCTTGGGCCTCCACCTGTTTTTGGACTACAACTCCCATAATCCTCAGCTAGCAAGACCAGTAGTCAGGGATGATGGGAATTGTAGTTCGAAAACAGCTGGAGGCCCAAGGTTGGGAAACACTGCACTAGAGGACTGGTGGCTCCTCCTGGCAAATGGCCTGGTGTGCACTGGACCACCAGTCCTTCCTTGCCCCCAGAATCCGGCCAACCGAAGGTCCCATCTGGGGTGCCATCTGTTGTAAACAAAAGCTGCCCTTCTTCCCTTATGGGGGACACAAGAGCCCTTTATAGAGTCCCTTGTAGGTTCTCCATTGGTAGGAGGAAATAACAGAGACAACCAGAGACTATTGAGAAGCAAAGCAGCTAGTAAGCCTGATCTCTATTGATCTGCTGCAACAGGGTGCTCCCCTGAGGAGGACCCCCAACCAAGGCGTGCCTGCCCTTATATAGACATTTTAAATTCCCTGACCTGGAGCTCCAGACAACCCCTCCATACATCATACATACATCACAGAAGGGGTGTAACCCAAGACCACCCCCCACAAACATCATACCTGCATCACAGAAAAGGCAGTCTGCAACAGAAATGTGAATGTTGTTGTTCTTCCTGTCTGCCAGGTTATCGGATAATGCCTTATCTGATTCCCTCTCCTGGTAGTCTGGCCATTCCTTTGAGATGGTGATTTCCCAATTCCTGAGACAATGGGAAGGTTCCCTCACCCCCTCCCTCCTTGCAGAGAAAACATTTGGTCAGTTGGGGAGTCTAAATGGTTTCAGGACAGTCTTCCTGTGCTGCTCCAGACATGTGGTCCACATATCTATGTATGCGCTTGGTTGGTACATTTATGAATATTTATTATATATATAAGACCTTGTTACAGAAAATCTAGGTGCGAGGCTGCTCTGCCACCTAGCTCGTCGGACTGAGTCCGTGGGTTCCTGCGGAACAAAAGGAGCGCAGCCAGAGACTGGAGCAAGTTGGAGAAGATCCACGTTTGTTGTGCAACAGGTTCAAGGCGAGATTGAACCCCGAGGATGGGGTGACATGAACTTTTAAAACTTCCCACCATTACCCCAGATACAGTTCAAAAGCATCATCACTACATCATTGCTACATCACGATTACATCAGAAAAGGGGTGGGTTCTACAGGATTAACATATGGAGGAGGGAGGGGGAAACATGCAGAGTTGGAACATGTATTGAAAGGCGCATTCTGATTACCGGTGATAAGAGAGCAATGGGGTCTTAGTTTGCATAGTCTGTGACCCGGCCGAGCCTGGAGGAAGGGCTAGACTGGGTGATTTGGCATCAATGAGGTCTTTCCTGGGTGTACATGACCGTGACCTCCCGC